AGAACAAGACTCTGAAAGAATAGAGAAATTCCAAAGGCTTTTGTGAAAATTCCATTTTTAAGGAACTATGATAATGTTTTTTGATATATATATTTATATTATTATTATTATATATTTTTATTTAAATTTTTCGGAGGTATTCCTGAATTTTGAAATTCTGTTGGGCTGAGGGGGCGTTTTCATGGCTGTGTTAAATTTTTAAAGACTCCAGACTGATTAAAGCCGGGCCCAAATTTATTTTTGGGGAAAAACGTATGGGTGGGGGTGTTGCGCGTGACGTAAAAAATGCTGCCTCAAAATTTTAAAACCAAAGTTTTTTATATATTAATATTTAGTAAAAGTAAATATTTTTTTTTGGAGGTTGATATATGACCCTTTTTTTTCTCAATTTTTATTATTTTATTATTATTATTTTTTTATTATTTTTATTATTTTATTATTATAGTTTTATTATTTTTTTTTATTATTATTATTTTTATTTTTATTATTATTATTATTATTTTATTATTTTTATTTTTATTTATTTATTATTATTTTATTATTTTTTTATTATTATTTTTTTATTTTATTATTATTATTATTATTATTATTATTTTATTATAGTTATTTTATTTTTTGTTTTATTATTATTATTTTTATTTTATTATTTTATTTTTTTATTTTTTGTTATTGTTATTGTTTTTGTTATTATTTTTTTGTTATTTTTATTGTTATTATTGTTTTTGTTGTTGTTGTTGTTGTTGTTGTTGTTGTTGTTGTGTTTTTGTTTTTATAGTTATTATTGTTAGAAAGATCGTTCTGTTATTAAAAATACATGTGTGTGTGTTTGGTTTAACGATGACGGGGCAGGCAGGGGTCAGCAGTCGCGGGGCAGGTCAGGTCGTAGTCCCCGGGGGCAGGGCAGGTCAGCTGTCATTAATCTGCTAATTTCTATTTAAATAAAAGTATGCAAACTTAATTTTTTTATAATTTGAATATAATAATAATAATAAAAATACTAATAATAAAATAATAATAATAATAAAAAAGAATAATAATAATAAAAATAATAATAATAATAAAAAATTAATAATAATAAAAATTAATAATAATAAAAATTTGATAAAATAAAATTTTAATAATAATTTTAATAATAATAATAAAAATAATAAAAATAATAATAATAAAAATTTAAAAATTAAAAAATAAAAATTTTTTAAAAAAAAATAATAATAATAATAATAATAATAATAAAAAATAAAAATAATAATAAAAATAAAAATTTAAAAATTAATAATAATAAAAATTTAATAATAATAATAATAATAATAATAAAAATAATAATGTTAATAATAAAAATTTAATAATAAAAATAATAATAATAAAAATTTTTTAAATTTAATAATAAAAAATAATAATAATAAAAAATAATAATAATAAGGTAATAAAAATTTTAATAATAAATAAAAATTTAAAAATTTAAA